CACCTGGAGCTTGACACCAGCGTGTGACAAAGCCCTTGTCCCCAATGTCTGCTGTGCTGTGTGATTGCAAGGGAGAGCTGTAACTGCCCCGTGCCTCAGCTTCCTCATCTGAAAAATGGGCACGACAGTGCGGCACTCGCATCCCCGCAGCCGTTTTCAGTGCAAAAGACGACCAGCTTAGGCGTGTGAACTTGGATGTGAATTCAGAAGGATTTGTTGGGTTGCAGTCCAGCTGCTCAGTGGATTGAGGTGGGCTGAGCGGAGGGACCAGCTCTGGTTTGCTCCGTCCCTGCATTGTCTCTCAGCAGGGATCAGAACCAGTTGCTATTGTAAAGGTGAAAGAAACCCTGTGTTTAGGTTTAGGGGATACTTTGCCCAAGGGGAAAAGCTATTAGTGAGAGGATACTTGGTATCCTGAAGTATGAGTGTTTATTTTCTTTGTAAAGCTTTTGTTGTAGGGTTTGGCTGTGTTTGTTATTTCCGGGCTGTTTTGTAACACAAGTAAGTGTTTGGGTTTTTGTGTGTGTTTTTCTTAACATCTAGACAATATTTTTACTCCAGTGACATGTGTATATATACAAATTCAATTCAAGCAATTCTTTAGTTTAACGTGTTCTAAATCACTTCTGTTCAACGTGGGAAAACCAAAGAGTAGTGATGCTGGGGCTGATCAGCCCCAAAGGAAGAAAGAAGGTAAAACTGACTATAAACCAAGATTGCAGATCAAATCAGTGTTTCCTATGGTAAGTGTCAGAGCTGATGCCAATTATCTTGATTCAAAAAAGAGAACCTTCAGCATTTAATAATCCAGCACGTTACTAACACATGGCTCCAGGATTTATTAAAGCTTTTTATTAGATGAGTGGCCTTTTAATATTGTCATGCCTTGACACCATTGCCCTCTGCCGGAGGATGTGAAATCTCTTTCACCATGTGGCACAGCCCTTCTGCTTGCAGCACGTCAAAATATATTTCTGCCAAGGAAAGTCTTTCCAAACTATGCAAAACACTTTTGGTTTAGAAATATTTTAACCCCAAAATTGCTTACGGTTGAACTGATGATTTGGGGTTTTGCCTGATTTTTCAAAACGGAAAAAAAAGAAAATGAAAGTATACTTTCTGTAGTGGAAAATAGAGTTTGATCTTTTTAATTAATTCATGTTTAAATTTGTTCCTCCTCCTTCTTTTCCCTGCGGAGGAGGAGATAGCAGAAGCCTAAAACTGACAATCTGAACAAAGCCAGGTTTTATTTTGAACGTTTTCAGTGGGAAAAGGAGACAGGTATTATGATGGGGCAGAGGTAGAGTGAATGCCTTGAAGAGGAGCATAATTTGCCCCAGACTAATTTTTGACTAGCCTCACTTGTGCCATAAACAGCAACAAAACCATTGTTTGGCTTTGGTAGCAAGGGATTTTTTGGATGCGGGGCAAGCCCTCTGTCTTGGGCTTTGAGGCTGTGACTTGTCTCACCAGCAGTGTAAAATCGCAGGCGACCATGTATTTCCTAGCTGATGTTGTTCACAGGAGAAAATGGATTTCACCTTTTGCAGCTTTAACATGCGACAGTGAGGTGGGAGCGTGGCTTTGTTACACTGAGAACTGGCGTCACCCTGCACTGCGGCCCTCAATTGCATTAGTGTGTTGGGAGGGAACACGCTTGAAATACTTCGTCTGGATCCAGATTTCATAATGCTCACAGCAGCCCCAAGTGAATTCTTACGATGTCCTTCATTCAGGCTTTTCAGGGTCATCAATAAAATCAAATCGCTTCAGGAATTAACAGTGAGCAAATGCCTTTGCTGCAGAGCAGAGCGCATGGTACACCGTGGATGCCGACAGGCAGCTCGGGGTGCAGAAGCGTGGGTCAGCAACTGGGGGTCGGGCTGTGGTCTGCGGCTCCACGTCCTCCCCCAGCTGACCATCGCCATCTGCGGTTCGGATCCGTACTGGGGTTGTGTCCCTTTGGGCACGTGGAGCACGCTGTGTATAGGGAAGGGAACGTTAATTACAGCCACTGCACATGGGGTATCTGATTCGCATCTGCAGCTCAATGACGCAAAAGGAGCTCAGCATTCAGCCAGCCCCAGGAGGACACGGGGAGGAAGCATTCCCACCGCGGGGAATGCCGTCCCCAGGAGCTCTCTGCTGCCAGCCCAAGCAGAGTTGCAAAGCAAAGCCGACAGCTCTCTGCGAGGGCACAAGTGGGCTGTGTTGGCCCTTGGCAGCTTGAACACCAACGTGACAGATGATTGACCAGGGAGCTGCTAAATGCTCTGTAGCAAATTAAAAGGAATCGATCCTGAAGAGACCAATGCACAAATCGTTGGAGCCTGCTCGTTTTCCCCTGTGTTGAAGGGATGGAAGTCAGAGTAGCACCCCAGCCCAAAGGTGCCCATTCTCCATCATACGAAGCCCAGGGTCAGCCTGTCCTAGGGCAGGGTGCTGACAATTTGAGTCTGGATTGGCAGGAGGCAAGGAAGAGGCAGCTTTAAGGTAAGAGCACTGTATTAAGAGGAAGCTGCCCTTGACAAACGGGGCATTTGATGCATGCCAGCCCACTGTGGCCGCTTGCCAGATGCTGTGAATTGACTCAGAGTGGCTCTTTCAGCATGCCATTTCCTCCCAGCCCCTCTCCAGTGGCAGAGTCCCTTCCTTGGTGCATTTGCAGCAGAGGCACTTTACCAGGCAAGGTGTTCAGTCTTTTCAGAGCTGCCCCTTAAGGCTGTGCCCTACAGGGATGCTCAAGGGACGTGCTCAGGCTTTATTAGAGGATTCAAAGGATGCCAGCCCTCAGTGCCCTCTGTTCAGGCACTGACAACTGCAGGGACAGCAAGGATGAGGCCATATGCTCTTTCCTGAGGGCACCGTGTGCTTTGGCAGTGCTAGGCCAGTGGGATTTCTCCAGCTCTGAGAGCTGGAAAGGGATGCAGCAGAAGGCTGATGTTTACTGGAATAATTCCTCCTCTTCCTCCCTGGTTTATTTTATCTGGATGAGGCTGCTTTCTCCAGTTCTGAAAAAAAATTGGGACAAACCCATGCTGCCTTGAGATGCTTCCTTGAAAGTCTGCAGGGTGTCCAGCTGCACAGAGCATATCCTTGGGCTGTGAAAAGCTTCTTCTTGCTACTTCCCTGTACTTGACTGCAGGAAACCTTGCTCTCCATAGAACCAGATGTCTTTGGTGGTTGGTTTAGAGGTTTGTTGTTGTTTCTTCTGGAGACCCTTCCACAAGACTAGCTCCCTCTTATCACCCTCACTAGCTGCAGCTTGCCCCGATCCACCACAACCTCCTTCCACACCGCACGTCCTTGCATTTCCTAAATGCAGTTTGCCAGCACATCTGCTGATTGCGTCCTCTGACGAGGGTCTCCTAAGTGAGGCTTTGACTCTGTACACAGTGCTGGAGGAGGGTGGGTGCACCCTGAGGAGGATGGGTCCCCAGCTCCAGAGATGCTGGAACCGTGATCTTTGCATGAGTTTTTGTATGGGAGGTGGCAGGTCTCTGCCTGGTGAGAGACCTATGGGGGGGAACTGGCTGTTTGCTAGAGCTGGCTGGAAAATTTTTGAAGAGTTGGGTTTTTGTATGTATGTGGGAAAAAATGGATTTGTGAAACTTTTGTTGAGGGACATTTACATGTCCCTTTTAAGGACAAAGACCAACCTGTGGTTTTCCTACCCTTTGTTTTCCCTGGTAAATTAATACCTCTGTGATTGAAGCACTAATTTGGAAGAAACAGTTTCTGCCCAGCAACTGGAATACTGCTTGCTTGCACTTTAAAAGACAACCCGTCAGTTCTTGGAGCCATTTCACTTCAAGTTTTTCACTGGGCTCAGTGCCGGAGGCTGACTATACAGCCCAGTGGCTAAGGCATGGCCAAGGGAAATTCAGATCAATCCAAATTGGGCTAATCAGGGATTTGAGCCTGGATCTCTCCTTGACTGCCCCATGCAACCAAGAAAAAGCAAGCTCCAAGGGTCTTGGAGAAAAACATTTGCAAAGTAGCATTGTATCTACAGCCCAGTCTTGAGGAGCTCCCCTCTGATTTAAGGAGGGGATCTGATATTTCCCAGGGCAGTGCAGCAGCAGTGACTGACCAGCCAGCCAGCGGCTGTGCAGTGGGAGATCAGTGCTTTTCCCCAGAGCCTGCTGCTCCCTGCCTTTGACTGCGGTATTCTCTGGGCTCTCCCTTGTCTGCAATGCAGCCCTTTTAGCAGCGGGCTAATGCGTTCCCCCACATGGGAACAGTGGTACTAAACTGCTACCCATGTTTGCAAACTGTCCACCACACGTGTCCCTGCTAAGTGATGTACTTTGCTTGCCAAGATACTTGGATAAAATACAGTCTGCTTAAATCTTGTATGTGCTTGTATTGAATCAAACTAAGCCATTGTGGCAGTTTAATATACTCCAGTCGCAACACCTCTGAGATGGAAGAAATGAAACTGAACAGGCCAGTGGAAGCCTGAGTTTAAACTGGCAGCATCAAAGCTGCCAGTGGGATGGTCTGAGCCGCGGGGATTACGACAACGGGTAAAACACGGGGTGACTAGCTTTGCTGGAGCCGTATTCCCAAGAGCGTAGGTGCAGTGCCCCTGAGTGCTCTGCCTGGTGGAGGGAGAGGGTCTGGTGGGTCAGAGCATTTGCTGATGTGTCAGGCAGGTAAAGTAGTGACTATGGTCTCTGCTTCCTCCTACGGGCTTGGGCATAGCATGTGGTGTTGTGAGGCTTGGCTGGCTTGTGGACAAAGGGTTCATTTCTGCTAGGGGATGGTTCAGACACTGCAGCACTGAGCAGCTTTTGCTTGGCTGAAGCAAGGACCTTGCTTGAGAAGTGGATGCAAAGCTCTGGACACCAGGATGTGTCTCTCCCTGGAGGCATGGGACACATTTCTGTTGCTCACTGGCCCGGTTTGATTTGCTCTTTTTGAGGAGGATTTGTGAACTCTATGGAGCAGCTCCCTGGTACTTTTCTCTGCCTACTCACCTTTGCTCTGTGTTGCAGGTTTCCTTCCAAATGAGTCCCTGAGGTTTCTGCTGGCAGGTCCAGCAGTGTCCTGTACAAGTGCCCTCCTGCTCCCGGTCCCAGCAGCCGAGGCCCCTCCAAACCTGCTTCTGCAATGGGTGGGTTGTAAGCACTGGTAAGACCTACGAGTCGTGTCGCCTTCACTGCTCTCTCCCTCTCTCGCGTTCTCGCTCTCTGTCCTTGTTCCTTCTTGCCCATTTATTTCTGTTCTCCATGTGCTCTGCTGTTCTGTCTCTGGGGTTTTCACTGTCAGGTAATGAGGAGCTGTGGGTCCAGTCAGTCTTGGAGATGCCGAAGAGACGAGACATCCTGGCTATCGTGCTGATAGTTCTGCCCTGGACACTACTAATCACCGTCTGGCACCAGAGCACCATTGCTCCACTGCTTGCAGTGCACAAGGGTGAGAGAAATCAAACCAGCCCATGCCAAGTCTGTGCATCCCTCCCTCGTCCTCATCTCCTCTCTCATTTCATTTCTCCATGGCAGCCATGCTCATCTCAGCTCCCAGCCCATGCTCATGCAGAAGCCTCCCCACTTCTGCTGTAGGAACAGCCCAGTGCTCTTAGGGATTCTTCAGAGACATCAAACTCCAAGCCATGCGATATGCTTACTGCAATTGGAAAGCTCTTTATGGCCTAAATCCAGAATCAGTCAGAGTACTGAAGGAAGATGCTTTTCTTTGTTCCCTGATGATCTGTAGGAGAGGAGTCCCTTCCTGCTGGCCTTTGCAGCATTCTGCACACAAGTTAGTCCAGCAGGAAAGCTGCAAAAAAGAGAGCAGAGGAAACAAAGCTGCCACTTGAGACAGCTGCTCTGGGAGACAAGAGGCAAAGAGCATTTTTTAAGTGTCCTCAGGAAAGCAGCAAACTGGTGCTCTTGCACTTGAAGGAGAAGGCAAGAGCCAGTATCTCACCTGATTGTTTGGTGGAGTTACAATGCTATGAGAGAGTGAGCTTCCACATTACCTGTCACACAAAGCATTAAATAGAGCTCTGGCCCAAATCAGATGAATGCAGGAAGTTCTGGGGATCCTCTCTGGCCAGAAGGGTCCCAGTTTTTATCCTATTCCTGGCACAGCAGCAATATCCAAGGGCTGTGAGAGTTCTTGGGGGCTGGAGGAAGCCACACTGCCTACTGCGGTCTTCATTCTTGGCTCTGCGCTTCTGCTGAGTGCCAGGGCAGCTTGGGGAGGCTTGTCTGTGTGGGAGAAGGCCAGCTCATTTTCCCTCTCTGGTCCCTTTCTCTGGGAGATTCTCTCCCTTTTTCATTGTAATGTTCGCACCCATCCTCCACAGTTCCTTATCCTTTTGCTGAACAGTCTGATGCACAGTTTGAATTGTTGGTAGTTCAGAGTCTGTCCCGAGCAGCTTTACCTTTCCTCGGGAGGACTGACAGCCACCCATGAGGCTTTGGGCAGTTCTTAAGGGAAAAATGACTGTGATTCCCTCTGGAAGGTGGACAGTGTTTCAGAGGATGAAGGATCTACTGGGCTCTAAAACAGAACTTGAAAGACTACTAAGAATATGCTGTCCATACACCAGTTTGATTCAATGCCCTAAAAGCTAGTAGCTGTTTTTTTGTGAATGGCCACGGACAGCACAGAGACTGCTCTGCTCTGACTCAGTTCTGAACTTACCGATGACCTTGGTAAGACACTTCCTCTGCCTCTGCTTCTCTGAGCCCCCAGTGGAACATGAGTGATGATAGACACCAACCTGAAAACTCCTGGGAGAAATCGTTTCGTTCTTATAACAGGTTTCTGAGATCCTTTGGTAGCGGATGCTGAGAAAGAGATGTGCACCTATGTGCTAGCGAGCACAGAACGGCAGTGCTTACACATGTCAGGATTTACAGCTGAGGGTTTGACCTGCAGGGGTTTGCAAACTGTCCTAAGCACCACCCTGGCTAATCACATTTGCATCTGTGTCCAATGCATTCTGCAGATTGATTTTTTAACTGATTCCAGTGTTCTCTGCTTTCAGAGAGCTCTGCTATGTGATGCTGATGTGCTGTGCCTTATAGAGGGCCTTGGACACCTTGTCCCTGTCCCCCCCACCAGATAGACACCCTCCCTCCATCACTGCCAATGAGTACGAGGCCTTCAGTCAGTTCAGGGCTGGTATCAAAGTCTATGCTGCTGGAAGAGTAACATGCTATGAAAAAAACATAGGTAGTACCCTGCTGGGTCAGATCTAATGTATGTCTGTGCCTGTTCTTTCTCATCTGAAGTTCCTGGTAGTAGCTGGTTTTGCAAAATCTATGGCTCAAAGTATGATGTGCCCACTAGAGAGCAGCCAGCTTGTATCCTGAATGGAGGTCCCCTTCATCTCTGCCAGTTCCTAACTGTAGCCTGTGGTATGCTACGGAAGTGTGACTGTCACACCCTGGAAAAGTGACAGGTGCATGAAATTTTTTTTTCCTTGAGCTGATTGTGAACAAGTCTCTCTTTGCAAGGATTTTACATGTTTGGATCAGTGTATCCTATATATATATACGCTGTTCATTGTTCACATCCGCACTACTGAATGGGCTGTTACGTTCAGAGGTTAGTAGGGTCTTTTTGAGGAGAGGCTTGTCAGAGGCAGGTGCAAGTCTCTGCAGGAAAAAGCCTACAATTACAGGCTTTAATTTCTACTCTCCATTTCTGGATTTGAAGTGTGTCTTTCCCTTCTTCTCTGCGCCCCATCCCAGGCCTGTCAGGAGAGCAGTGGGGTACTGCAGTATCCCGGCCAGACCATGCTGCTGGGGGATCTTCACTGACTCATTATTTTCCACCAGTTAGTTCCCTGCCTCCCAGTCCAGGTGCTCCAGTGCCCGAGTGCAGAGCCATGAGTCCTGTCCCACTGAGCGTGGTGCCCAGAGCACTGGAGCTTGTCTGGAATGACAGATCGACAATCCGTGTTGCTATTTTCTTTATCTAGACCTAATTGCTGTACAAGCCTGTCTCTTCTGGGTGCTTTTTGAACTTGCTTATTCTGAGCATTTAGCTGCATTGTCCTGGGCTCTCAGGCCGTGTTTGGTGATGGTTTTCTAACAGCAGGAACTTCTTTTCTCATGTGTTTGTCCCTGATTCCTTTATCTATTTGTGTACTTGTTTATTAAAGCCTCCATCCGAGCTTGTTTCCTTTCCTCTGAAACCATGAGGGTGACCTGCTATTCACAAGCAGCCTGCTGGCTCAGCCCGGGGGGGGTGTTAGAGGCCTGAGTCCATGCGGCTTTTTCTTCTCTCTCATACCCTTGCTCAGATGATGGTGGTGACTCCCGGCGTGATCTCGCTGCAGGCTTGGACTCCAAGGAATACTGCTTGTCGGACCGGGACATTGTGGAGGTGGTGAGGACAGAATATGTTTATACCCGCCCACCCCCGTGGTCAGACACCCTTCCCACCATCCACGTCATTACACCCACCTACAGCCGTCCCGTGCAGAAGGCAGAGCTGACGCGCCTGGCCAACACCCTCCTGCACGTGCCAAACCTGCACTGGATCCTGGTGGAGGACTCACAGCGGCGCACGCCTCTCATCACCCGGCTGCTGCGGGACACGGGGCTTAACTACACCCACCTCAATGTGGAGACACCCCGCAACTACAAGCTGCGAGGAGACATGAGGGATCCCCGCATCCCCCGGGGGACCATGCAGAGGAACCTTGCCCTGAGATGGCTGAGAGAGACCTTTAACAAAAATAACAGCCAGCCTGGGATTGTTTACTTTGCTGATGATGATAACACCTACAGCTTGGAGCTCTTTGAGGAGGTAAGACCCTGCTGGGGGCCCCCCAACTGTCTGAACACAGCAAATTAGCAGGTGGGGTGTAAAAGATGCTGTGTACTGAGCTGAGGAGATGCTGTGTACCTCCTCTCCTGAGCTCTGCATCAGTCTTGTCTGTATAATGGTCGCACTGCAGCTGTCCTGAAGTTTTCTCTGGGATTTGGTTACTGCGCTGCAAAGTGTGCGTTTCCCAGTGTCAGAGGCACCCATGCAAAGTAATGGGAACCCCAATTTATCCTGTGGTATGTGATCAGGAAGCAGATACATTTTAATGTAAAGGAAGCTGATGAGGAGCTGCCTTCCCCTGTGGGGAGCCTTGTTAGGGTTGGAACATCACCTGCTGTCCGACGTGCCTGTGCAGAAGCACGTGCCTAGCAAAAGAAACCTCAGCCGTCCTTCCATGCCTCAGCCTGGAGATTTACGTCTGGTTCCTGATCTGATGTTCTCCACCACCCCTATGTATTGCACTTGGCTGTCCCTGGGGTTTCTCTTCCTGGCTTGCTCTTTGCATTTGTTTCCTCTCATCCCAGGGCGTCCACTGGTCAAATTCTGTAGCTGTCAAGAGCCTGGCGCCTGCTCTGCACAGATCCCCAGCTGAGGAAGCGGTGCCCTTTCACAGTTACGCCTGAATGGTGTCAGCACAGTCACAGCCCTTGCAGGACATCTTGTTCAGAGATGCTCCGTGCGGTTGTCTCTGGCTTGCCGCACACGCGAGGAGCATGCGTTTGTCAGTGCTTGACTTCTCCTCCCAAAAAATCGGAGCCCTTCACGCGCTGCCTCGGAGAGGGCTATCTCTCTGCTGTGAGATGCGTGCAGTGCTCCCTTCCGGGGCTCTTCCTCTTGCAGCATCTGGGGACGGATGGTCTCTCATGCTGTTGTAAGTAGGCGATGGGGCTCAGATCTCAGCCTGGAAGTTTGCGGCTCCGGGAACTGTGATGGCAGGCTGAATTTCAGCATGTCCTGACGGTCTTGTCAGGCTTGAGCAGGGGAAGGTTCCCATGTGCTTTCCCACCTTTGCTATTTGTTCCACTCCTACTGGGGATGCCAGTGAACTCCAGTGCCTTTCCCTGTCTGCCAGTATGCAATGATCTTACAGTGCCAGGTACACTGTACGTCTCCTGGCTTCCAGCTCAGAAATTACTTGTTCCCTTGCTCTCCTGAGGCCGAGCTCTTGCAGCAAGGGACAAGAAAGGAGGATTGCCTCCTTCCCCACCAGCTGCCAGTTTTCCTACCAGGGATCTCCTATTTATTCGCTCCATACATGCCCCCTCTCCCTTCCCTGATGGCTTTCACTTGAGCGTGGATAGCCACAGGAATATGCATGCTTTTAAAGCTGAAAGCAAGTTCAGACTGAATGTCTTGCTTCCACAGTCCCCTTTGAGGCTGGCTCTGGCAGCATCCTGAGACAGACACCGCACATTAATAAAGCAGAAAGGGTTCCTTCGTTCACTCGTGTGCTTTGCTCGTAGAGGCTTCTCCTCTCTGATCTGTAGCTGCAGTTAAGGTCACGTGGAGCCAATGAAATGTGCTGTGAAATGCAGAAGACACGCACTATTGTTCCCTGTGGAGAGGGGCTGCCGTTAGCATGTGTATAATGCAGAAGGGCAAATGCCAGAGCTCTTCTGGTCTCGTTTGCAGTAATTAGCAGTGATGAGATTAGCTCTGGGAGATCCCTGATCTAAGAGACTGGGCTGAGAGCGGAACACAAGGCTGAGCCTGCCAGCAGAGCAGGACAGGGTGCTGGGGGGTGAGCGGGCAAACTGGCATTCAAATCATCTGCCTTGGCAAGTGCAGGCATCTCAAGTGTCCCCTGATGGCTCCTATCTATTTCTGTTGACTCCACAGGGAGTAGAGGCATCCAGTGACGTTCGCTGAGTAGCTGGAGCAGCTACGAGGCACCATCCTGCATGCTGGGAGTTTCCGGAGAGGCTGCGCTTCTCAGTTTTCCCTGAGGTTGTGGACTACAGTGCCTCACTCTACAGATGCTTTTAGCCTTACTGTGGCTCACAGGCAGCTCAAACTCCTTAGCTTTCAGAGAAAGCACCTTTCTTCCTAGGTATGCCATTCCTGCATTTCCAGGTGGCTTGGACAAGGTGCTTCCCTCCTCTGTGTCCTGATTTCCCCAGCTGTCCATGTGGAGGACTGATGCCCCACAGCTCTAAAGACCTTTGGACAAAACACCACTCTTAAATCTCGGTTATGTTTACTATTGACAGTTTTGTTTTTAGTGCTGAACTCATGCTTTGTTCCATGGCTATCCATTACTATTGCTATTGTTAGTTGCCACTTCCCAAAGCAATTTGCTTCTCCAGCTCCGGGATGTGCATCCTTGTACAGGTGAGTAATGAGCTTGGTGGCGTGGTCCAAGCCGCTGCCTGGGACCATAACCCAGGCTCTTAGCTCCAGGATTTGTGCTGAAGCTCAGGGACATTCATTTCCTGCGGGACAGTGAAGTCATTCTGGTGCTGGTTTGTGTGTTGGAAGTCGCATGCAGCCGATCCTTCCGTGGGCACCCACCGTACCCTTCTCTTTCCTTGCCTCCAGATGCGCAGCACCAGAAAGGTGTCAGTGTGGCCAGTAGCCTTCGTCGGTGGCTTACGCTATGAGTCACCCAAAGTGAACGCTGCAGGGAAGGTCTATGGCTGGAAAACTGTGTTCGACCCCCATCGCCCCTTTGCTATAGACATGGCGGGGTTTGCCGTGAACCTCAGACTGATTCTCCAGCGATCTCAGGCTTACTTCAAACTGCGAGGAGTGAAGGGAGGCTACCAGGAGAGCAGCCTACTCCGGGAACTAGTGACCTTGAATGATCTTGAGCCGAAAGCTGCCAATTGCACTAAGGTACGATCTCTTCCTCATACATTGGTTGTAAGGATCCAGAGGGAGGAGAAAGCCCATCCAGCCCCATCATTCTGTCACTTCTCCTCTGGGTTTGAAGAGAGCACACCCCCCATGGCAAGGCAGCTGGGAAAGGGTGATTATGTATTCAAATGTGTGGAGGGCAGTTATCTTTTTTGGTTGCTAGCGATTGCTGTAGGCCTTGAAATATGGAGTCTTCTCTTCCCTGTAACTGTTCCTCTTTCTTATATTACCTTTAGAAAATATCATTATTTTCAAGATGGGATTATCTGTGGCCTTGCTAATCCCCTGGAGCAGGGAATTCCATAGGTGAAATGTATGTATGTCGGTTGCTTTACGTGAATTCCTGAGGGGGACTTTTGCGTGCTGGTACTCCTGCGATAAGCTAGCATCCCATGAGACTTGGCCCTCTGGAACCCATCATCTGACCTGTAACCCAGGAGTACCAGCCACAGTGTTTCCTGGCTGCAGGAAAGACTGTTCACACAATCACTGCCTTATTGCGAAGTCGCCCTCTCCCTCTCGACATCTGTGCAATATTGCTGTAGTTGTCCACAACAACCTGGATCTTTCTGTCTCAGAGACAGTGTAGAAATGTTTTAATGCCTGGGATATTGCTCTGAGCTCCAGGAGGCTTCCATAAGGCTTCATTTTGGGGGGGGGGTTACTGCTGTCAAATGACTGCTAGTTATTTGACTGTACCCATTGCCGAGGAGCCACCAGGTCATGGAGCAGGACCCCTATGTGCTAAATAACGTAGAAACTCAGAACACAATGATGGTTCTTGCCCTAAAGACTTCCCAGTCTAAGATGAGAGACAACAGATGGATTTCTATCCAGCATGACAGGGGAGCGTGCGAGATACGACGAGACAATGCTGGTTAGTGTGACAGGCATCAATCATAGCACATCAGCAACGGAGGTGCTGTCAAGTGCTTTTGAAAGCTGTGTGAGTGGGTCCACTGAGCACTGCAGATGTGGAGGGGGTCCCTCGCTGATCACAGACCCCTGTGCAGTAGCACTATCATGCCTTTGTCTGTAATGGGCACCAGCCAGTCTGATTTAGGGAGTCTTCATTTATTTTAACTATCCCAGGAGGACTGGAGGGTTTTTTTGCAAGTAAGCTGTTACTGCCAACAGATTCAGTGTTGGATCCAGGTCTCCATCCCTTTTTGGGATAGAAAAACATTTTGGATAATACCCTTTGTCTCTGCTTTCCATCTGCACTGCTCCACAGTCCCCAGCTGCAGAAAAACTAAGGATCTCTATGTTCAGCAGCGCTCAGGCAAGGAGTCCAGGAACAAGGAAGAGGAGCTGAGAGGGAGGAGCAACTTTGTTTATTATCTGATACCTGCTGTGCCTCATTTTTTAAATCTACATGTCTGTGGTTATGGCTGTCCAGCACTGGGATAAATAACACAGATGGTCTCCCAAGGGTGGGAAAAGAAATTGGATTAAAATTAGATCTCAGCTTTTGGCCACTGCATGCCCTACTAGCTAACAAGAAAGCACTGGCTGGAAATAAGTGTGTTTCCAACCGGCCAAGGGAGATGCACAGGTTGCTTTTAGTCTGGTGTACAGAGGATCAGGAGTGTTTACTCCATGGCCAGCTCTGCGATCTTTGGTATATTGTCCCTGCTGTAAATAACTGTTGGAAAGAAGCTGTGTTAAAAGGCTGGGGATAGGAAATGACGGTTTTGGAGGAACATGGAGGAAGGACAGGGAGGGAAATGTTGTTTCCAGGCAAGAGGAAGAAAACAGTGCTGTCAGGCTGCCGTGTCAGTGCTGTCACACAGAGCTGCAGGTCAGAGATGGAGAGGAAGCAGGAATTACTGGCCAGGATTTGAAGTAGACTGCATTTCTTTTTTTTGGCTAGGCTGCAGGGATCTTACAAGGGTCCTTGTTGTGAACTGAATGCTGTCTGCTCCTGGCAAACTCTGAGCGCAGCTTGCAGGTTGAGCTTTGCCTTTCTGTTTTTAGCTGATGCCAGCAGCCTCCATTTCCCAGTTGCTGCTTTGCTCACCCGTTTGAGGAGGAGCAGAGTCCAGATGAGCAGCAGAGAAGGACAAAAGTAGGCTGTGGTCTGGGGTCCTCTGGCCCCAAGGTCAAAGCACAGACTTCTTTCTCATTGTGCTAGTGTGCTCCCAGCAGTTGTCACGGTTTGCTTCTGTTAAGCATACTCCTGCTTTGCAGTGAGATTTACATTAAAAATTATGATGTGCTCAGATAGAGTCATTAAGGAGGGATCAGAGAAGTATGTAAGATAAGCGTAGACATCTGCTCTCAAAAAATGCTGCCTTCCCTGTGTGCAGTGCTGGTATTTGTAATATTTATCAGAATTCAGCCCACAAATGCACACTCTTGCAAAAAGCTTAAGCTTTGCCCAAAGACATATATCCTGCTTATTTTCTTTGATTTGGGAACTGCCCAAAATGAAGGAGAAAATTAAGGAAGTCAGTATTAATTGCCAAGGAGAAAGGAGAGAGTTATCCCTCATTATCAGGAGGGAAGGGTTGGTTTATACCGGAGTTGTAAGGAAACAAGGCTTTGCAAGCGTGCTGTGCATTTCTGTGTTCTGCTACTTCTGTATTGCCCACACACACCCCCCGAAAGCAAACTGTTCAATCCACTGACACAGGATAGAGGTCTGAGGTTCTATATTCCCATGAGGCTGGTGTAACTGGGACATATCTTGCTCCCCATTTTCTATTAACACCTGAGAAAACCAGCAGCAGTGCGCTCAACCAGGGAGTCCTTAAAGAAGAGAGACTTTGAGCGGCCCCAGCTATTGAAAAAGCCTCAGCTTGGGCTGGCACAAGAGGACAGACCACAAAATAACAAGTTCATTGGAAACGAGGTGTCTTTCGTGCGCTCAGGTAGTCTTGGTTGCAATTTACTGGGATTGAAGTGGTGGATCAAAGTAGTCATTCCTCCTCTCTCCTTATCTCTTGGCTGAGTCAGATCTGAGATTAAATCTGCGGGTTCACAGCTGTCCCAGCAGTACCTGAACCACATGCCAGCACTGTGGCTACCATGGGTCTTGGAACTGGCTCTGGGAGGGGAATAAATCCTTGTGCATGTGGAGGAGACCAAGCCCTTGGGTCCAGCCACAGCAAGGAAATTGCACAGCAAAAGGAGACCAGAACTGGCTGTTTCGTGATGTCACAGATCTAAAAGAGCTAAAAGTGGCTCAGAACAGGCAGGAGAGGGAAAACGTCAGCCTAAGGCAAGAAGGCTTGAAAAGGAGTACTTTGCTTCCTCCTGATTTTATCCTGTGGTGCTACATACGGCAGGCAGGGGAATCAGCCTCATGAGCTCTTTACATTCTTTGCCTTCCAGGGGCTGAGCAGCAGGGTACGGATGGAGCAGATCTGTCCTCTTTTGGGTTAGCTTGTTCCTGAGACCAGGCTCCTCTTTTCGCGTGGGTTTGTGACCAGTAGTTTGCAGTGAGCGTTCGGTATCCTGACAGCACTTTGTTGGTTAAGCATCGCACGCACACCAGTGAAGACACCAGTATTCGAGCTGTTGATTTTTATGACAGACATGCAGAACTTGGAGGGTTCTTCTGGCCTTTTCTTGTCCTGGTTAGTGACCAGAACTGCTGTGCCAATGTCATACCCTGTACCACATCTGAAAGCTGTAATTTACATCGGAGTAGTTCAGGCTTTGCAGCACCGTTTGCCTGCACTGCTCCGTGGTGGACCTTCAGATCTGTACCGTGGCTAGAATAGCTCGGGTTAGACAGCTGTAACCCTTTCTTCTTTTGTGGTCTTTTAAGTTTTGCCTGTAATACCCATCACAAAGCACAAATGTTCAAGTTGAAGATTACTGTTTGAGCTCTGGCTCATCTAATAGCAGTGGCCACGATTCTCTCGACATATGAGCAAAGCAAGAGTTATAGGGAGAAGCAATCTTTATTTGTTATAGCAATGGATGTGCTTTTGGGAGAAGAGGGCCTCCATGATGCCTAAGAGAGCCTGCAGAAATTTGGTTTAGCACAAGCTGAGAGGAAGCAAATCTCTGTTTCAGCTTGGTGTCTCTTTTTCTTCCCATTGTATAGTCTCCATTTCAAATGACAATTATTGAAACACTCCACAGAGGGTCTGTGTGCTTGAAATCCTATGACCCCCTCCAGCTGTAGGCCGACTTGCCTGTTTGCTTTTTAATTTCCTGTTAGAAGACAATGAAGAAGTCTGCTATGGAGATGAATCTTCGTAATCTCTTAGATCTCTTTTGAGTCCTGTGATTCTGAATGGCAAGGCTGTAAACGATTGGAAGTGGTTTGCAGTAGTAGAGATTTTTTAAAGGGGACTCCCTCAGATGACCTAAAGGAAACCACTGTTCAGGGGAAGTCAGATATTCGGTCCCCCTCCCCGGTTACTCCCTTGCAAGCTGTACTTTCTGCACAAGCCAAAGCTTCCCTAAGGCATCAAACACGCTGCTTGTGGAAAAAAGTCAAGCAATTGGCTGAGAGGAAAGGCAGGTGTTTCTGTATTAAATGATGATCTCCCTCCCACATTAAAGAACACAGCATGAAAAACGGTAGAAGCTGCTGTATCAAGCTGCAAACTCTGCAAATCAGTCCATTTTAGTTAATTTAATATAACTCTCTTTTGGGGCAATTGTCTTTAATAATGCAAAATGTGGATCCGCTTTAAAGAAAGGCTACAAATGTGTAGTCGTGGTCTTCTGTTTATGGGGTACGTGGTTGGAGTTGTTTAACTGTGAGTCCCATTCCTGGCAGAGCGCAGCCTTTGGCCATCAGCAGGGTTGAATGTTTATGTGTCAGAAGTGGAAAGAGCTCTTACCTACTCCCATTGGAAAGAAGAATTGGCTACAAGATTTTTCTAGCAGCTGGACTGCATTAAGGTTTATGCATTCTGTTCGTTGGACGAGGAGCCCGCGACTGATGCTCGTGTAGCACCGAGAGCCACTTGTACAGACCTGTTTGGTTTTGGCCTTTTCATAGGAAAGTAACGCAGTAATTGCAGGAGTGCTGCTGCAGTGGGTGAGCAGCACTATAATAAAAGCTAACTTTGATGACCGGGGCTCTGAAGTGGTTGTGGGGGAGCGATGAAACGGTTTTTTTGGACCCACTCCAGACAGCAGTTGATCTCCACTGCCTTAGTATTAGCGGGAGAGATTTAAGCCCTGCACAGGAGGTGACTGCTCACATCAGAGACAAATTTGGTCAAACAGCTTCTTGGGAAGGTAGGGGTGCTCCTGTTTAACCACAAAGGTTTGAAAAGTGCTTTGTTCATCCTTTAGAAACAGAATGTGCCCTCGTTTTTCAGAAAAGCAGGGACTGGGTACGAAATGGTTTGCAGATACTTGGATTGAATATGCAGAGTATTGTCATAGCAACAGGAGGGAAACCCCCACAAGGTAGGAAACATCAATGCAAACAGGTGAAGGGAAGCAGGAAACTGTAGCTCCGAAGGAAAAAAGCTGCTCCCAGCAATCCAGGTTCTAGGAGCAAAGCAATAAGTATAATTGAATCTAGTGAGGGGAGAGTATTTTAAACAGCTTGCAGAACTGTCTGTACCAGCAGTATAGCACAGCTAGTAGAAACTATTTCCCTGTCGTGCTCCCCCCCCTCAAAAAATGTTAGACCACCTTTTCAATTTATATTCTTTCCAGTACTCCTCCATGGATGTTGTTCTATATTAAACTTTGCTGCTAAGACAGAGGGAAGCTTTTAGTCGAAGCTTCAGTTCTGTTCTAGGCAAGTTGGAGAGGGGCTTTAAAGCGATGCAATGTAGTGTACCTGGTACAGAATAGCGGATGGCAGCGTGGAGCCAGCATTTCAAAGGAAATGTGTGTGGGGCTTTTGAGGCGATATGGCAGATTAATGCTTGCTGGGTTATGTACAGCCCAGAGCATGTGGGAGGAAGGGAGTGTTCTGCAGCTAGCTCCTGCATCTTCCAGCTCTGAGACAGCAGCGGTTGTAACAGAGAACGGGAGCAGCAGTACGTACTTCTCAGATCAGTGTCACTCTCATATCTCTTTAGGGTCTCAGAAGAATTTAAAAGTGAAAAAGAAGTGATAGTGAGGTTAAGGAGCAGATTGATGTCTTCCCTCCAATAATGGCAATTCAGAGATGCACTGAAAAATTCATGTTAATATTTCACCCAACCGAAGGCAATGGTGACGATTGGAGCAGCGGGTGGTACTCAGTAGAACTGCCTCTCCCCTCTAATGCACAATGTGACCCGAAGTGGCAACAATTTGCGTTTCCACTCTGAGCTTTCCTTGCAAGTTAACTCCACACTGGCCAAGGACATAGTAACACGATAACCGAGAACCAGAGCAAGGGACTTGGTCTATGAGGAAATATGTATGTGATCCTCCGGTTATGAAGGAACCGCCTTACATCATTGAAAAGGTTGACGAGCCTTTCGTGGAAGATGGTTGATAACTACATGGAAGGAGCAGGTTAATGTCCCAAGACAGTACACTGTAAAACGGGTAATTTCTGTGCACTGTGCATTTTGGATAGCAGTAGGCCTGCCTAAGTGAAGTTTTATGCAAACCTCCTTTCAGCTGTGAATGCGCCATTAGGCTCCAGGGTAGATGGTTAAATTGCGCTATTGATTTAATGTGCAAGAATATTTGTTAGTGCAGTGAAGAGGTGGAGCTAATGACTTCTGTTGGCTTCTTCAGATTTTAGTCTGGCATACAAGGACAGAAAAGCCTGTGCTGGTGAATGAGGGGAAGAAAGGATTCACAGATCCCAATGTGGAAATCTGACTGAATGGCTGAGCGGAGACCGACACCAGGTAAGAGCTCACATTTTTCAACAGTAATGAGAAGCAGCAGTAAAAAAGGAAGATACTAAACAAGGACAGGAAAAAGAATAGAGCTCTTTTAAATCTTGCTTTTTCATTTCCATTTTTCACATCTCTGACCCTCCCTTACTACCAAACTTCTTGAGACCATTCGTTAATCTCTCCTTTTATCTTTAAGACAAGCTGCTAAAGGGGAAATACCTGGTGAGAAGTTGGGGGGAAGAAGGCAAATCCAGAGACTGAGAGTTTAGGCAGAAGTTACATGGTTAAAAAACCAAACCATTGTCTAAACAGGGAGGTTGCCTTATTAACTGTACTAATACAGCTAAAGCACAAGGGTAAAGGATGTGGATTCACCCACCTGCAAACAAAGCTAAGGCAGTATCAGTGAAAGCATTTTTAAGTCAGGCAGAAGCTTTCACTGAGGGAGGAGTTTAATTTATATCCACTTTAAAGCTGCACAAAGTCAGTGACAAGTAAGGGAGGGTGTGGATTAAACCCCCCATGAGGTGTTTGTTTGCCTAAGGTGAGCACGTAGTGTCTTCTTCAGTGGAAAGGAGGAAAGAACAGGCACACTGATGGCTGACTTCCTGCTCGTTTGTTCATGCCCTGGCTTCTCGCCTTTAATTACCCAGTGCATTTCATCTTCTGTATTTCCAGAGTGTAACTCTGGTTGGTTTGCTAGAGTGAGGGATGGGCTACTCGCTTCCATCTGCATCCAGACTGTGTTGCTGTGCTTCATTGTTATGGGGAAAAAAATAAACACACAACTCCCTTTATCTGGGGTGTAGAACCAGGCCTGGAGGGGAGAGAAGGTTGCTGCTTGTTCTTTTTTACTCTCGAATACAGAGAACTAAAAGCAGCAAAGGAAAGGGATAAATTTGCTCAGCAGCGGTATATTTTTAACAGTAATGAGCTCTCTTACAGCACATTCCCTCAGGCTAACTGGACGGAGCCCTGCCTGCTGCAGTGGCCTGCCTTTGCCGCCCGTTGGCAGGACAGCAGAGGAAAGCCTGCACTGCATATTATGTGCGCTATATATAGCGGCTTTGCAGAGAGGCCATAGCTCTTCAGCGCTGTCACAACTGCTTTTCACCAACACCCAGTTGCCTAGCAGCAGTACTCACAGATCTGCAGTCTAAGATGGGTTTTGGGATAGTTCCAAGGGGTGGCAGCTAACTGCAGCGAGGCAGAAGGGTAATATACATGCTGGTTGTGTTTCTGTTGCAGAAGATTTCTTCATGCACAGCCTGCAAGGTTCCTCTCCACAGCATACAACTAGCCAGACATGCAGTAGCCAGGACCTCTGCTGACTTCCAAGAGTTTTAGCGTACTGAAAACAAGTAACACGGCATACATAAACTGCCCGGATTCCCCTGCCCTTCCTGCTGGACTCTGAGCAGAACCAGGTGCTCTGGAGGTGGAGAAAAAGCACAGAAAATAAAGGACTGACATCAACTTCAGTACAAGACCAGCTGCCTCGCGAGATGCTCGGTTTGGGAGAAGCGCATGCAGGGCACGATGCACTGAAGACACGGCCCGGCTGGAATCATAGTCTAGACTGAGGGGGCTGTTTCACAGGACCTGAAAGCGAGGGTGAGAACGCCCAGAGGAGCGTGTTGGCCCCTGATGACTTGTTTTTCCTGACACACACGTACCTTGTGGCTATGTGTGCAACAGCCTAAGCAGCTCTCTGTTCACGGAGGGGACAGCTGCCTTCTGAGATGGCACCTTAGCCCTTAATTTTAAACCTACTTTAATCAGTGTTGATTACGCTGCACAAGACAGGGAAGGTTTTGGGGGAGGGTGAAAAGCAAGGCAGGTTAGAACAAACCCATTAAGTATCTCTCTTCTCTTTGTATCCCCTCTCCTTTCCCTTCATTAGTTTCATGGTTTGGAGGGCACTCTGACGTACCTCTGTGTTCCTGGATGGAGTTATGTTTATAGCATGTGGTTCTCTATTCATCCATGCTGAAATAATTGGAATTGGGTTTTAATGAGCTGTTGTGGCCATACACCATAATTCTTCATCCAGGCTCAGATCTTGGTTCTGTTTAGCACTAATTTGGTTCACATGAGCATTAGGTGTGGGATTCTCTGAAGGGTGCTCCTACATAAAGCCAAATTTCCACTCTTAAAAAAAATAAAGTTAACTGCTTAAAACTAGGGATTGAATGATAAAAGCTGATTTTAGTGCATTTACCATTCTACTGGAATGTATCCTTCAGCCCCTAGCCCCTTTTTCAGGGCCATGCCATGCTACTGCAGAGCTACTGGCGTGAAAAGCCACGCTGGAGCAGTTCGAGAGTTAACTTCTGACAGATAGAGCAGCACCCTTGTAAAGGGGATCCTGTGCTTAGTGTTCTGTTTCTTCAGCACCTGGCTTGAGGTAGGTTGAAACACTATACGTAGAAAATTAGTCGCCTCTTCCCCGTTCTGTAACATCAAAGGACCTGAGATAGCATTGATGAAAGGGTGTTCTCTGATGAAACTGTATTTTGCTTCTCAGTGAGAGACACAGGACTGAGCAATGCAGAAGAGGAACCTGGGTGCTACTACCTTGGTTGACTCTGTATTTGAGATTTGACAAACTTGCTGAGGAAGAAATTGAGGTACAACATACCCCTTCTCCCCACCTCCAGCCCCTTTAAAAAAACCCCCAAACTTACCTCCTCCTTCATAGTTGTCAAACCTTTGATCAACCCCCCACTGTCCCAATTCTTTCAAAAAGGTCTGAAGCACAATTTTACCTTTGAATTGAGGGAAAACGTAATCCTGGAAATAGACTTGGTTATTTTTAGCCCTAACACATAGAACTATTAAAATGCTATAGATTTGATGGTTAGCTTCACAGTGCAGAAGTCTCCCCTTGGACTAATGACATTGTGTATTTCCTAATATTTAAAAAAAAAAAAAAATATTTTTTTGTAAGTTATTTTCTCCCGCTGTATATCAAAACCATTGGGGAAAAGTTGCATTCTTTAGTTCCCAATCATAGAAGCCTTGCTGCGTAGCCTTTGCAAAAATGTTCCTTTAGCTGCATGGGCTGGAGCGCTACTTGGATAGAAAGCACTTGATGCTACTGGCCGCCGGATGCTCTATAGGAACGGGTATTGTTATCTTGTATTAAAACAGTAGCTCTCTGCACTCAAGCAGATTTATTCTGTTATTGTACTAGCCTTCCAAGTTCACTTCAGTCTGCGAACCGTAGAGCGGGAAGAGACATTTTTAAAGGACTACAAAGTTTTCATACCATTTTAATAGTTTCCAGCTGATGTCCTGTCCTAGCTGCATGTTTTGTTTGACTAATCTTAATTCCAGTCCCTGCTGGGTTGGCAACCTTCCCTTCTTGGAAGGAAGTAACTTTCAGAAAAATGCAAAGGATCGAGTCCTGAACACAATCCTGCATATACGCTCCGCTGTCCTCAAAGTTGGTCGCACGAGCCTGGGCCCTTCCAGCTTGCACAGAGGCTGCCGTGGTCCTTGGGAGCAGAGACACGTACGTTCAGTAAGACCAGCTCTGGCCAGGATGGAGTGTATTACAGCTGCACTGTCTGTTCTCAGTTTTAAACAAACTGTATTTAAATTTGTTAAATAAAATTATGGTTTCTAAGAGTCAGAATACCCTGCAACTCCATTATCAGAGACAGTGCACATGTTTGATGTTTCTCTCATAGCCTGAATCCTCTGGTTATTGGAACAGAAAGCAGGGGCTGAGCGACTTCTCGGAGATTCTGAACAGATTCACGGCTTGAATTTGATCTCTTCCTCTCCCTAAAGAGATGGCAGCTCCTCAGTGACTGCGGAGCTGGTGAGTTAAAAAAACATGTCATGTTTTCCTAAATCCTGTGTTTCTGTTTTGAGGGACAAAAAGCAAACAGGACCCAAGATCCCAAGATTTCACAGCAGGTTTAACTAGAAAGTATAGATAAGCTTTCCCATTTGCAACTATGTATGTGACCCCTTTAGTTCTATCCCAACCAAAATCTGATCCCTGCTCATTTTACAAGGGGGAATTTCATCTTTAGCTGCTTCACAGTGAGAGCAAGCGTGGAGGGAAGACTAACTTGTCCTTTTCTCCTCCTGCACCTCCCTGGAAGTTCTCATTCCTGCCTGGCCTGAAACATAATAATATATTTGATAGAGGACAAAACACATTTCACTTTTTAAAACTTTTTTTTTTTTTTTCCTTTTTGAGAGAGAGACAACCTCCATAGTAAAACTTAGTGGGGAAAAAAAAAAGCTCGAATTAAAGTCATTTGACAACCAACTTGGCTTCCAACAAGTGAACAAGTAATGGCCTCTTTGCAGAGTGAGTTGCTAAATTCTGCCTGGAAGCACAACAAAATGGTTTTCCACACCTGGTTACTCACATGTTCAGCAACTATTTTCTCCCTATCTAATCATAAAAACGAGGAGGCCAGTAATAACACATTTTTAAAGTCACTGGAGAGCTGAGCTCAGTATTCAGATGGCTTCAGTTCTTTCTCTCTCTCTCTCTCTTTCTCTCTCCTGCCTCCAGCACCTTTTTACTCCCCCACATTCAGCAGACGGTCCATAACATCATGCGCAGCCATCCAAGCTGTGGGTCCTCAGTAGTGCAGAGAGATGAGCTTCCGTATTCATCCATCCTTCGGGAGCCCCTTTTCTCTTCCGAACTTAGTGCCAAAGAGCAAATCCTTTACCTGGGTCTAGTGGAAATTAATGTGCCCAAGTGCCTGGGCCATCATGTCCCCAGACATGCAACCAGGAATATTCAAGATGAGCCAAAGATGGGAAAGCAGCTCTCATCAGTCCACATACTGGGTCCTTCCTAAATAAGGTATGTCGACAGATTGTATTATCCGTCCTGCAGTGCGTTCTTCAAAAATGACAATCTGCGGAACAGAGGGATATAGAAAGTTCCCTCATACAAAGGCTGAGTTACTTTAAATATTTTGAGGAGGAAAAGGCATGCGATCACAGCAGGGGAAGGAAGCATCATTTAAAGAGATCAATCAATATGAGTCTGAACGGTAACTGTGATTCTTCTTCAGCACCACATGATGCAGAAAATGAACCAGCATCAAATCAGGTTTGTCTTGATTATGAACTTGATGCAGTGCTTTGAAGTTTAGCTGCCATCCTCGTCATGTCTTAATGGTTGTCAGAGCCATAGTCAGCTTTAGAGCAGCACTTTCCCTAATTTTCACAGATCTCAGGAGGTAGCAGTCTCCTTCCTCTCTATTGCGCTGGTTTGCAGCTAGCGAGAGGTAATTAATGTATTGTATATGCGTAGCTCTTTGGGACATGACTCAGAGCAGGATCTTTAATAATACAAACAAGCAGAGAGAAATCCCACCACAGCCTCTCACCTCATTGCTCCCTTTCCATAACCAGGGGCCAGGAAGGTAGAGCGTTTCCTGAGGTCCAATTTTCCAGTAGCGGCCCAGGTTCTGACCATTGACAAACACAACTCCTTTTTCCCAGCCCTAGAATCAAGACAGTACACAGAATTACTGATGCAGCTGTATTGCCTACTTAGCATCCCCACAGGAAACTAAGTCTACTTTCACACTTGCTTTCTTTCAGGCCACTTTCTGCAGGTTTTCTGCTTGCTTTCCCTGTGCAACTCCCTGAAGCCATGAACATTTAAGTAAGCCCTGTTGAACAGGAGTTATCCTTAATGTACTAATTAAAAGGATAAAGCTTTCAAAAACGTGCAGTTCACGATTCATGCTTGTACAGGAAACTTCATCCTTTTGAACAGACATAGCTTTATTTCTTCCCAAGCATAGAATACTCCCCTCGCCTATTTCCCAGGTGACAGAAATACTGTATTGCTACTGACTAGCATAATTTACAACAAAGCATAAATGGAAAAGTGAGCAGTACAATAACGATTGGCATGAACCTTGGCTCTAAGGGAGTGAAATCGAAAGAGGAAGTGTAATAATACTTAATATCTCATCTTAAGTTCTACGTAAGAGCAGCAATCTTCCACAGAGGGAAGATGTGAACACTAACTCTCATGCCATGTCTACAACGAAGCGACTCTCTCCATATCACATTGAGGAGGTAGGGATAAAACTAGTGCCTCCTTTATTTTTTGTGCCCATTACTCCTCTGCAACTAGAAATGAAATAGCATTTGTATGTCAATTGAGAAGACTAACTGTTCATTAGCAGCTCTGCAGGGTCAGTATCGCACATGTTTTCTCATCAGGACCACTACAGACTGAACAGAATTACCTGCCAGCTTGAGAAGACTTCTACACCCTCAAAATAATTCTCTTTCTCCAAGATTAGAGGAAGACTACAAGACAGAGCTTAGTCAGAGCTATTACACAAGTGTCTCTCTAACCAGCTTTTTCTTCATCAAGAAAAAAATAGAGGGGGGGGAAGAAAAATAGGACTTGCCTGTAGCTTCAAGAAAGTGTCCTGTGGCTGATGCTCTATCCACAGCCTTCCACGAAAAAAAGCCGGACCGACAAAGTAATCTGGGACTGTACTCCATCCCGCAGTATGCCGCAAGCTGTAAGAGAATGACCAAAAACAGCTGGGAAGCGCCAGGCAGCACTGAGAGACACAACACTGGTCTCAAAATCATTTCAAACTGCTGCTTACAATGGCTGATGGATGTTGTTACAACAAGGTTGCTGTTTCCTTGCATGCCTGAAATGTCAAGCAGTTGCTTTCTAGTTGTAGGGCCTGAAGGTAATATTCTTTGCGCTGTAAAGGGATGAAGTGTTTATCTCCTGCAAACATTCAATGCAAGCACCTAGCTGACCTCTCTCCTCCACTTAAGTGTACTGGTGGTACATGTCTCAGTCTTCACTATCCTATGCTGATAGGCCAGTTTCTGGTAGAGGAAAAGGATATATGGGGCTGTCACCATCTCTGATACTTTACAGCAACATAAAAATCCCTGCTTCATGTTGGCTGCTGAAGTGCCCATCCTCCTTCAGATATGACAGCGCCATGGTGCAAGCTTTAAATGCAGGTGGCTTGCACAGGCTAAAGGAAAACCTGCAGAATTGACAGGATTCAAACCAGACGTTCCTGCCCATGTTCCTGTTGAGGAACATGAACACATCCTTGCAAGTTTGCAGCACTTAGAGGCAATCTGGCATTATTTCTTACCTGTGGCAACAAT